TGCATTAGCCTCACCCTTGGGTCTGGGATTTTCATAGTGGTGTCTATTCTATGGATAGTTGTGAGAGGGACTAAGTTGGGAACAAGTTATGTGTGCCATCTTGATTGGGAAACTTTTCTGTACCTGTTTCTAGCCTTTTTATCTATGCCATAAACTCTTTAATGCCAGCTATGGATCTCTTCTCAGAATAAAATAAAATATATACAAATACAAAAGAAACCAATTATATTACAATAGTTATCAACACATTTACAAAAATAAATTGTGGTGTAATAACAGATGTGCTTCTTGATTAAAGCATTAAAAAATAAGATCTAGTGGCAGCTTTAATAACTGGTGTAATTTTGAAGTAGTAATGACTGTAAACAATATTTCAAGATATCTGCCACAAATTTAATGTGATATGAAAATATTTATTATTTCTATTAGTAACAAAGTTAGAGGTACTATTAATACTACTTTGGTCTGTTGTCTACATTGTTAATCAAATGAAACACTAAACATTAGTTAGATGTTAAAGAAAATAAAGATGCAGTATTTTTCACATTTAAATTCAGGAGTCCCTGAATTCTCTCCATGAGTCCCCAAAGGGGACTTTGAACGCCTGGTTATCAGCCTCTGCTTTATACATATCTCTGTAAATTATTCTGCAGTAATATTATACTGCCTTCTATGTTAATCATCTTTTTCCTGCATATGCTTTGTAAATATGACGATAAGCTCCCTACCAACATCAATTTCCTCAGCATTTAAGAATCATATGCATGCACTAATGTTCTAAAACAGAACATACTTTTGTTTTTCCCTTAACACTGAATCACTTTTTTGAAACTAATAGTTTCATTTCTTTGCCAATATTCTATATGTAAGTTTGTCTGCAAATATTTCATTTTTACCTCTGATATCCTAAAAACACTTATTGGTCTTAGATTGTTCTCTCAATGGATTAAATTTAATTACACTGAAGCAGATTTTCAAAGCCGAAATAATGACTCCTAAAATCACCTAAATTTAGTGCACATTACTTGGAACTAATTCATAATTGCATATATTAAAAGCTCCTCAACCATCTCAGGATATGATGTACTTTTTAAATGTTTCTATGTGTTCCTGTAAGTATTTTAGGACATTTCAACTTCTTCCACAAAGGGAACTCAGTTTCTAGCATACATTTAGATATTTTGAAATAAAGGAGACATTAGTATTTTTTTTAATAAACTTAAAATTGGGGCTTGATCAAGCTGATTAAATAAAAGTATTTTTTTTTTGTAGCAAGACATTTATCTTGCCAAAGAACTAAAATTAAAATCTATTAGTTGTCTGCCAGAGAAGAGCCTATTGACCCACACTAGGAGAGACAATACTGGTGTTAATTTCAGTCTCTGGGAAGAAATGTGTCCTTTTAATTGTTTTTTGTTGTTTTTGTTGTTATGAGGAGAAAACTATGCCACAGGAGCAACAAACTATGATTATGCATGGATGGAGTTTAGCACTGTAATCAAATAGAACTTACAACAAAGTTAATCTGATGATACATATTTAATGTTATGCATTATTGATGTGCTACATGGTAATTAGACATAAATGGTAAACAGCTCCTATGAACAGCAAATTGATGTTACTTTTGCATCACTGAAGCAAATGTTTATGGGATGGGAGGGAGAAAGAGACACTGGTGGTGATTCTAGTCTTTTCTCTTGCTGAGAGAAGCAGTCTCCCTTGGGTGCTGGAAAATCAAATAACTGTTTCAAGCCAGGACCTTCCTCCTTATCAGAAGATACTCACACACTTGATTTGTCTAGATAAATTCAATACTAAGTTTTAATAACTCAGGTGAGTTACTCACAACATGTGCCTTGTACCGGAGCACCACAATTTCAGTCATGCATACTATTAAATTACATGTTAAACTGTTTTCTCCAACAAGCAGAACTAAGAAAATGAGTGTTGATTGAGCAGGGTAAGGAATGAGAAGAAATTCTAGAGTATCTGGCATTGAGCAGGAAAGCAAGCTGCTGGAAAAAAAGTCCTGAGTAGTCTGCTTTCAACAAAAAGAAGGCACAAAATTGGTGGGGCAAAGGATGCAAGGGGTAAAACGCACAGATATGTGAAAAAGAAAAGAGATAAAGGCTTACAAAAGGGAGCGGAGGTCTAGAAAAGAGGAAGAGATGAGATAGGCCCAGGCAAACCCTTCCACAGCAAACAGGAAATGCATGGAAGGATCAGGCGTAACACTCACCTTTCCACAGTACAATCCAACATTTAGCATAATAATATGATTTCAAAGGCAGTTGTTTTGACTGCACAGTGGATAAGATTAAACCAGCAAATTCAAGAATTTAGACATAATTTACTACCATCTCCACATTGTAAGCAATTCACTCCTCCCAAACTGACCACGCTTACCCAATTTAAAGAGACCAACAAATATATATGGTTTGTGCTACTAAATAAAGTGAAACGAAGAAACAAAAATCCCAGGTAATACATTTCTATACACACGTTTTAAAAACTTATTGCAATATTAGAGGAACATTCAGAAGGAACTTTTTCTGCTTCTTACATTCCCTAAAGAGTTGAAAACATGACTTAAAAAATAATAAATGTGGGCCGGCCCAGTGGCTTGGCGGTTGACAGCACGCTCCGCTGCTGGTGGCCCGGGTTCGGATCCCGGGCGCACACCGACGTACCGCTTCTCCGGCCATGCTGGAGCCGCGTCCCACATACAGCAACTAGAAGGATGTGCAACTATGACATACAACTATCTACTGGGGCTTTGGGGGAAAAAATAAATAAATAAATAAATAAAATTAAAAAAATAATAAATGTTTTTAATGTTACCGGCGAATAAATACCGCAGAAACATTCTGCATATTTACATTTTTTTTATTTATCAAGGCATGTGAAGGAAAAGCTACATAATTTTAATGGGTAAAATGAATGGCTACATCAATTAATTCTTCAAAATATGGTTCTATTTTACTATAATTTGATTATACAGAAAAGATTAGAAAGCTTCAATTATTGAGTAGGAGTCAGAAGTTTGTTTGTCTTATATTACTTTAAAATTAAACTGTACAATTAAAAAAAAGAGGGAGGACTAAATGACAGTTAGGTTTCATGCCTTGCTCATTGTGATGTAGGGGAGCATAATTTGCTACCCCAAAACATGTGTCTTTGGCTTGATTATTTTTAAGAACAAAAGACTTGGTAAGAAACTTTGACTGACCTTCCCCATAACTGCCAAAAAAATTTTAAGATAAAAGGCCTGTGTCCAGGAAGGAGGTGTCACCATAGATAACTATAGTATAATATGAACTAGGTGTGGGAGACAGGGAGGAAGCTAGCAAGGCCCATTTGATCAAAGTCTTCTCCATATCCCATTGTCTTTGCAAGGCATGGAAAACATTTGTTTACCAAATATTTGCTTTTCCATCTCCACCTGAATTGCCTTCCTCCCCTTTGCAGTCCCAAACCACTACTCCCAATATCCTCTTTTGTCTTTAGCTGATGATGGTATTTAAGGCGGTGACTTTGGGCATTTTGGCAAGTTACTCAGTTTTCCTGGATTTCTCCCATGTATACATGTTATTAAAACTTGTTTGATTTTCTCCTGTTGTTCTGTCTCATGTCAATTTAATTCTTAGACCAGCCAGTAGAACCTAGAAGGGCAGAGGAACATTTCTTCCTCCCTGACACTGACTATTCTGCAAAAAATCAAGGGACGAAGACAGGCAGAAGAAATATAATCAGCTTTCCAGTTCAACTCCAAAGAACTATGGACATGCTAATTGCACAGAGAAAAACATTCTTTTAACTTTGTGAATTTCTCATCAAAGTATAACTCTTATTGAGATTAATATAGGTGTGTCATGACAATAAAGAACCTATATAAACTCATTAAACCTTATTCCTATAGAAAATAAATATATTTATAATTAAAACATATACATGAGGTAAACTGTAATGCAAACCTACACTACAAAATGGAGGAATTTCCATTTAGACATAGCCTGTTCAATTGACAAACACTGCTTCTCTGAGTTTAGAGACAGTCTGAGGGGGATATAGCAAAACTATTTCAGCATAAACTACTCAGTCTTCTTAAAGTCAAAACAAACTGCATGGCTCAAAAACAAACATACAAAAAAACTACAATGACTACACCCTTCCTTTAAAAACTCTTTGCAGTTCTTCCTTCCAGAATTAAACCAGACAGGGCTGGACATAACCAGAATTCTAATAATATGTTATATCTTTTATAGTGCTTTATTCTACAAAGCACTTTATTTAGTTTCCTCCTCACAGTGAGCCTGTCATCTCAGATGAGGAGACAGATGTTTAGCAAGCTGAAATAGTTTGCCTAAAGGAAGCAGAATAGTAGAATAGAAAGAGCAATAGCTTTAGAGTCATGATAGACCTTCTTTTGAATCCCAGCTCTGCTGATCTGTGACTTGCCAGCTTTGTGACGTTAGGCAGTCTTTCTAAGCCTCAGTTTCCTTATCTGTAAAATGGGGATAATAATATTTATCTCATAGGATTGTTGTAGGATTAAATGAGATAAGTGCTTGACACAATCCCCAGCACATGTTAAGTGCCTAACAAAAGATAACTTTACCGTTTACCCATTGATTTTGAGCAAGCTATTTAACCTCTTGGCCTCTCTGCTTTTACATCCACAAAATGGCAATAACAATATCTACTTAACAGAGTCATTGTGATGATGCAAGACATGCAATTTTGTGTACAGTGAATGACAGGAAATGGTATGTCTACATATTCATAAACTTAAATTTAAAAGGACACATATCTAATAAATGGCAGAACCAGACCTGGAACCTAGATCTTCTATGTTGAGTCCTCTTACTATCAACACAGCTAGACACTCCTGATTCTATTATCCAAATACAGAAGAACATTTTCTCACAACTCCATTAAGAAGATAGCAATTTAGAAATACCGGTGAAAATAAATATTAAAAGGAAAATATGAAAGTTTACCTGAATTAAGGCCTCACTCAACATGTCTTCATTAACCTCCAGAATAATGTTTTTTATATCTTCATATGGCATACGATATGATCCCAGGAAGATAGCTAAAATAAAAATTGATTTTATTAAAAATAGAACAGCATCAAAATTCTAAAGTCCTAATAAATACCTGATTCCTATTTCGTAGACTCAAAATATGAAATTTCTATCACTAATATTAATTTACAGAGTTATGAACAAACAAAAGTAGTTTCCATTTGAATGATTATACTACTCATCTAGGCAAAATAGCATATTATCTCAGGCTCTAATGTTTATAGCTCATGCATATTTATATACAAAATAAAACTCCTACTAATAGCACTGATGACTACATGCTTATGCATTATACATTGAGCTGATACAAAATGACCAATGAAGAGTTAGAGATTTTATTTCAATTTGGCCTGTTAATTCAACGTAGAATTTAGTGTGAAAATTGTCAACAAAACAAACACAGTACTTTTCAGGAATTACAATAAAGTAACCAAATAAAAAAAATAATATCTATCTACTTTTCAGTTCTCCTACATAAGAAAAAATTAAAGTGTCTGAATCATCAATGTTCTCTGCATTCCTGCTGACATTCATGTGGCATACTATTTTATATATATTATATATATTAATATATTATATACTATTTTATATATTGAATCATAATTTTCTGGATATATATTATGTCATATTGAAATAATTCACCAAATTTTACCTAGAAAAGCTTACATTTACTCAGAAAGTATTTTTCAACAATACACTCCACTTTAACCTCCACTAAACATACTTTTGAAAGAACATTTGTGTGTTGTTATCACCAGAACATGAACATATTCCTAAGAACTTTTTTTTCATGAGAAATTCTATATGACTGCACTGCTACCTAAGGAAAATAAATCCTCACTGTCTAGGCAAATGATTACCTAGACGAAAACACCAAATGAGATGTCGATAATCTAAATAAATAATGTTGACAGATAGCAACTAGCAATTAAGATCATACTGTACTTTAAAAAAAAAGTACTGAACATCGACTTTATAAAGAAAATGTACTGTCAGGTAAGCAATGTACACATTCACAACAGCTATTAGGAGACTGCTTTTCTGACGGCAAGATTCCTACCGACACAAGAAAGATGAGTTGTTTATTTTAATCTGATTCCCTATAGCTCATTCCTTAACAAAATAAACTCCCATGATATTTCTTTGCGTAATTAGAAATGCTTGATGTGTTGCAATTTGTCATGCATAGTGTTTTAGTATCCTCAGAATATAAACACAGCCTAGTGTGGAGACAAAAAGAAAATGCTGAATTCAATCCAGAGGGGAGAAGATGTCAAAGTAAAACTTAAGGCCAACTTAAATGAAGATGGGTTTAACTGACCAGCTGCCTTAGCAAAAGCATACTTAAGGGCTGACTGGTTTGCTAAAGGCTTAAAGGTTCACTCACCAGTTTTAAAGCGGAGCGCTTAACAATTTAACTAGCTCACATCACAATTACTTCAAATATAAAGGAATAGCAGTAAAACGATTTGCCCAATGTGACTAGTGAATACTCTAAAACTATCACTCCCAGGCCTAGGCAGAAGGAAAATCAATAACATTCTTTTCAACAATGCCTTCTGACTTACTGCATCCTCTAACAATGCTCGATTACCAGTATTTCCAAAGCTTTATTATTCATAAGTTTCATCTGGCCTGACCAATACTAAAAGGTCTCCATTCTGGCTGAATGACAAAAAGGCAACCCACATCATGTTTACACAGAATTTTGTTTCTAGAAGACGCTAACCACACCAGTTCAAAGAATTTACAACTTTGTTTACAAAATTTTTTTTTATTTTATTTATTTATTTTTCCCCCCAAAGCCCTAGCAGATAGTTGTAGGTCATAGCTGCACATGCTTCTAGTTGCTGCATGTGGGACGCAGCCTCAGCATGGCCGGAGAAGCGGTGCGTCAGTGCGCGCCAGGGATAGAACCCGGGCCACCAGCAGCGGAGCACGCGTACTTAACCACTAAGCCATGGGGCCGGCCCTACAACTTTGTTTAAATACTTTCAACAACCCCACACCACCACCATAGCCACCACCCCTTATGCAGAAATTATCACATACACAGATTCTGGGCTGTCTTGGGATCCAAAACTCTCAATTCTTTCACCTTCTTTTTTGGAGGCAGGGTCTTCTTTTCTTCTGGAGCTTCTGGATTCTTTTGAACTGCAAGAAAAATGTTGATTCATAAACAATAATTGTACGAATCCAAATACACAGAATAACAATAGTAACGCATATTAACTACATTAATAAAGCTCATGCCAAAATCAATAAATGTGTTTATTTCATTAGTTCAAGGAAGAGGATAAACATAAAAATATAGACCTGTTTAGAGGTTTCCCTACAAATTAAATATCACCACTTAAGCAGAAAAGATAAGCCAAATAGAACCAAAAATCAATTGCTTGCTTCTTACCTAATGTGCCACATTTATTACTCCTTTTTACAAGGGACCTACAGCAGCACTGGAATTAAATATATAGTAAAATCTCCCTAATTTGGACTAATTCAGGAAAAAGGCAGACACGAATTGATCCTAAAGTATGCTAAAATTTAGGCATGTCTTTAATTCAGTGAAATTGTTTTAAAGTACTTAGGTAACAGTAGCACCCATTTGCATATATATAATTAACGGACCTCAAAGACATGGTCTTCTGAGGAAGTTAGCTTTGTCTCCCTCAGCATTTTTTCAGTACTATTTGCTTTCTTAGAACAAAAGATTTATTTATGCTGTATTCAGAAGGTAACTCCCTAGTTCAGAACAGCTAAAATGACCTGAACCTGTGAGGAGTGGCAGTGCCAAGGAGTGGCTTTAACCCCCCATAACCTCCATCAGACTTCCTCCAAATAAGCCAGCCCAAAAACCAAAGTAAAAAATAATGTGGCTGCCTGCTATGAAAACCAAGCTTTATGTCAATCCCCTAAACCCCTCCTATACAGAAATTCTCCAGCTACCATTATACTTATGTGTTGGCAGTTTACTTCTTCTAATATAAAAATAGGGTTGTAGGTAATGGGACCGTGAAAAAATACGAGAAAAGTAAAGCCAACAATTTTTTTTTCAATCAAGTAGAGTGATATGCTCTTGCCCCCAAAGTCATGCTGCTAAAATTTATCACTGAATCATATGGTCATAGTCATGCTACTTCTTTACTACTTTTAAACATATAACTTCATCTTGAGGCAATAATATGTTTATTATTTTACTTTATCTGATCTTTGTCAAGGAAACCACAAATGAGTAACTGATTTTCTTTAGAGGAAAAGCAACACACAACCACAGCATGTTTTTGGTAAGCTATGTGTTCACAGATGTTAGCACCTGAAAAACTTTCTAGACATGTTATAGAATGAATTAAAATATTGCAAGTCCATTAACACCGTCTTTGTTTTAATGGTGCAAAACATAGGAAAATTAAATGAACTGATTACAAAAATAACAGATAAATTACCTGAATAACTCAAGTCTTAACAGTTAGTTCTAAGCTTTATTGGTATAAATCATCTAAAGTAATGCAGCATCTGAGCAGACTAGATAATAATTACACTTGGAAATCATGATCTTACGAGAGATGACAAGTAGTTTACACGTTTACTCAACATAATTGAGTTATTGCTACTACAGTAAGAAAAGTGATTTTTAATATATTTCTTTTAAAATCATCACAAATGTTCCTCAAAGTATCTAAGAGCACAATGTCTTTCCTATGCAATAATCGGCATTTTAATTTATTCTAATTTTCCAGCCACTCTCAGCTTAAGGCAACTCTATATAAAGAAATGACAGTTCAAGAGTTGTTCCCTTTGTCAATAAAAAAAAAAAGTGCTGAATTGTGTTGAAATTACTTGTAGAATCATTCAGAAATTTTAACCTACTCAAAGAAATAGTCAAGAAAACTGTTCTAATATCTCGATATGCCTTAAACCCCACTATGGGAGGCTAGTTATTTAAGTACATATAGGATGAAAATGCTGTAGTACGAAAGATATATTAAGATTATTCTGCAAACTAACAGACTCCTGACTAACCCAGGCATGCATAATGCTCATTTGTATGACTTCATGTTTTTTATTTTTTTCATTAAAATATATTTCAACCTCTCCCCTTTTCAAATGAACGAGTGGTTTAAACTTAAGATTAGATACCTTACATATCTGAGTTCACAGTTTGGTTTTCTGAATCCTAATATATTTCCTTATATTATGCAACTTGACCTTATCCTGGGTTCAAGAAAAGGTAAGAATTCCAGGAGTGGGCACTGTTATTCTGAGAATCACTAGAACAAAGCTAGTTTAAAATAGCTCCTTAGCTAGACAGGCTTTAAGAAACAATAATGTTTTTACCATGATCAGTAGGTACTGACCAGTGGCTGTTATTGCCTTTGCCTTTCTTGTCTTTAAAAGCATTCCCTAGGGATCACAACCACAAGCTTAGATAAATAGAGAATTTGAAGAGAGGCAATATGAAACTTATCCAGATAGTATTAAAGGTTTCATATATTAAAAATTCCCTGCTTTCATAACAACTACAAAATGCCACTTGTCCTAAGATGCTTTTACTCCATATATGTTTCTAGTGCTTACAAAACTTAAATATTCCATAACTTGATTAAAAAATGGGCAATTCCATAACTCGATTATAACTTGAATAGAGATTTCTCTAATAAAGACATACACATGGACAACATGTACATGAAAATATGCTCAACATCACTAATCATCAGGGAAATGCAAATCAAAACTACAATGAGATATAACCTTACACCTAATAGAATGGCTATTATCAAAAATATAAAGATAAGTGTTGGCGAGGATGTGGAGAAAAGGGAATTCTTGTATACTGACGGTGGGAATGTAAATTGATACAACCACTATGGAAAACTATTTGGAAGATTCTCAAAAAATTAAAAATAGAGCTACCATATGATCCAGCAATCCCACTTCTGGATATATATCGAAAAGAATTGAAATCAGAATCCTAAAGCAATATCTACATTCCCATGTTTACTGCAGCATTATTTGCAATAGCCAAGATATGGAAACAATCTAAATGTCCATCAAAGAATGAAGGAATCAAGAAAATGTGGTATATACATACAATAGACTATTATTCAGCCTTAAAAAATAAGGAAATCCTGCCATATGCAACAATATGGATGAACCTGGAGGACGTTATGCTAAGTGAAATAAGCCAGTCACAGAAAGAGAAATATGATTCCACTCAAATGAAGCATTTAAAATGTCAAATTCATAGAAACAAAGAGCAGAAGGTTGGTTGCCAGGGGTTAGTGAGAGGGGAAATGGAGAGTTGCTGTCCAATGGGTATGAAGTTTCAGTTATACAAGATGAATAAGTTCTAGAGATCTGCTGTTCAAAATTGTGCCTATAGTTAACAATACTGCATTATACACTGCAAAATTTGTGAAGAGGGTAAATCTCAGGTTAACTGTTTATAACAATAAAAAAAATAAAAATTAAATTAATTTAAAACAAAAATTATAGCGTTTCTATAATTATTTGAAATTACTTGGATGGGACTAAAGAGATTTTTTTTAAGTCTCAATACAAAAACTTCAAGAAGTGATTTGGTCACCAATGGCTCTATGGTCCTCAGGTTCATAATGAGGCCTCTCCCTGTGCAAACGAAAAACCATACAGCCACTGGGTTCGAATCCAATGGATTAAGTTAATTTGAGTGTTCAAATTAGCACGGCTAATCGACCAAATAATAAGGAAACATTATAAAATATTGTCTGTAGGAAGATAATGATATAGTAATACAGACATTTGTATTATTATTACAGATATGTTAACATCAAGATACTAATTTTCTAAGGTAAAACGCCAATGGAGTATTCTTATATTTCCTTTAATACATGGATTTTTACATGCAATTGTACTATAAATTTATTCCTTTACAACTGAGGGATGCTCATCGGCATAAATAAAGTAAACATGGCTATATTCTTTCCCCAATCTAATTTAGGCAATGTTTAGGAATCCCCTATTAATTTCTGCCATCCCAGTGGATACACAGAACATGTGACAAGATGTGTGCAATATGTAGCAAATACTAAGATATTATAAATGGGTAACATTGAAAGATTTGCATAGCGATAACTTAAACATAAATCATAATAAAACCTTTGTAACTAATTTATCTCAAAATTAGTGAGAAAGATTGATTCCTAAAGTCGACATCAATACTACTCATTCATTGATTCATTCATCCAGCAAATACTTGTTGAATACCTACTATGTGTTAGCCTAGCAAGTGCATATAATGGTACACAAGACTTAAACATCTACTCATATCTCTTAAATACGTGGCATATTTAAACTAATTAATTATTGAATAATCTCCAAAAGATATCAAACATTTGTAATTTTCTTTACCTATAATATTATAGCTAAAATGAATACATGCATATCACTCAGCAAATTCTTTTTGTTGTATTTTTGAATCAGCATCCACTGATGTGTTACATCATATTATAAGGAACATGTGGAGAAGTAAAAGTCTGACACTTCGTATTAAGTGCACTATATACAAAGGCAGGGTAAAAAAAGCTAACAATAGTAGTGTTAAAAACCACATTGAAAATTTATATAACTTCATGCATACATGTATGTATATTCAACAAGTAAATGCCCAACTGTTGTTTCAGATATATCATACAAATATAAGAATTGTGATCTCTCTACATAAATACATACATTATCCATATGTATACAATTCCAGAGGTGGTTCTAACTGTATGGAAATAACTGTTCATATATTAGTTGAAATAGGTGTTATTTTCAATTAATAATTTGATGTTAAAATGAGTGCAAGTATGACAATGGGAGGGAGGGAAAATTTACTATGATTTCTGTGTGTGATGGCTGCAATAATTTTTTTCATTTAATTGTTATTTTCCAGTGTTTTTTAAAATCTTTATCCTTGCATTTCTGGTAATATTATAAAAACACAATTAAAAAATGGGCAAAAAATTACGTATTTAGACATACACAACACATATGCATATATATGTATACATACATACGAAATACACAAAAGACGAAAGTCTAAGAATAATAACTACGACAATAATAATTGTAGTAATAGTACTAGTAGTAGTAACCACAACCACAGTCATCACAACCACCACCAAAATCAACTT